TTAAGCATTGATAATCTTTTCTGTGTAATGTTCTGCTTAAAAGTCTCTTGAGATGCAGTTGCATAAATCAGCTTCTGGTTTATCTTTTATTTCCCAAACTAAAAACCAAACAAATAACCCCACATCATTCAGGGTCATAACGTGTACCGCTAAAACTTCCACAATAGGATACACAACATTTTTTTAATTAAAAAACACTTGAAAACACTGGCTGAAATTAAATTTGTAGTTGTGGTACCAGATTTAATAGTCTGAGCATTTAATTCACACAAAGGAGTCACTGAAAAGGAGTACAGATGTAGTGATGAGAACTTCAGCTCTGGGATTCCCAGTCTATCCCTTAAGCCACTGCCATGGAGTTTCTTGCACCCTTTGTCCTCTAGTTTCTTTCAATAACTTCAATTTTTTTTTTTTGCACAAAACCGTAGCTTCTATAGGATGGTGAGAAAGGGCTGCTGCATGCTATTTGCACAAATCCTGTGGTTTGGGGTGAAACTGGGTATTTTTGGAAGGACATATCATAAGCTATTTGCCACTATTATGGCCACATTACATATTCTATGAGTCCATAGTGCCCCAGGAAACTTTAAAGACTCATCTTTCTCTCTCACCATACAACTGTGGAAGGCTAAGTTGTCTACTCAGAATTTTGGTTTTCACGGATCTTTTAAATTCATTAAGATTTGTATTTTATATCACAAATTGTACGGTTTTTCACTAACTGTGCAAGGTAATGACTGACAGACAATAAACAGGTAGACTGTGATCTAGGAAATTCTGGGATTTTTTTTCCAAATCTATCCTATGTATCTTATAATCTTGGATAAGATGCTAAATAGACCATGGTAAAAATAGACCATGTCAACATGGAAAGGAAGAAAGTAATAATTCTCTTCATCATAATAGTAGTGATATTAAAATATTCCAAAGTGAGAGAATTATTCCACATTATAGTAAAATACCAAAGGATAACCAAACTCACATGAGAGCATGCAGGTTCATCAGCTGCTAGACACATGAGCAATACAACTACAGAAAGACACTTCTGACAGCTGGCTTACTTGTAATATGCTGGAATTGTTCAGAGCTCTGTCTGATTTGCATGATAAACAAATCTAAAGGAATGAAAAAGATACGTGAAAATGAAATTCTGCTTAGGAAGAGCTCATATCTGTCATCACTTGACTATACTGTGGTACTTTGAGTTCATATATCTTTGTTGTGCTTGTAATGTCTGGTGTTTTATTCCATCAGTGTTAATACTTGAGGACCCATGCACTGTAAACTGTTTACTAAAATGTAATCTATTTTCTTGGCTTTACCTTTTTTCTCCATGGATAGTTCTGCACTAAATTATCCCTTTTGCAATTGCTTCAGAACTGAACAGCTAGTGCTTTGTGCATGCAATGACAGATTGCCAGTATTCATGTTGCATCATCTAGGTATGTTATCCTAAAGGATGACTAGATGGAAGAAGTGAAGCTCAGCACATCTTCTATGCTACGATGCTGCTCCCTTGTCATGGGAAATCTTGACAACCTAATTGAAGATCCTTAGATTCATTAGATGATCATTCTTTACTTACACCAGCTTTCCCCTTTCTCAGTCAGTGTTTTGGTTTTCTGTATGAGGCTGTGCTGCTGAGATACACAGCTTTGCTCTGTCACTCTTTCAGGGGCTGTTGTGCATGTCTGCTAAGAGTACCAATTCCTGATTTTTTTCAACATCTCTCCTTGCTCTACAAGTGCAGTCTGGCAGTCTAGTCTCCCTCTCTTGGGCCATAGGAAGGTATTTATGGGATGCCCAAAACATTAAAAAAAAATCAAGTTTTAAAATATTCTGTCATCCTACTGCTTACTTGTGCTCATTCTTATTTAACTCCCATCAAATCATACCTTATTGCATTACAGATATAAGCCAGCACCAAAAACCAGAAGGCCTGTGAAGAGGCCTTAGAATGCTAATCATGATAGCCATGAGAATTTTGTTACTGATTTCATTACTTCCAGAACAGGCTTCTCATTATGTGCTTCACATTTGAAGGTTGAAACCCAAATGTATCAATTAAATAACAACACCTTTAAATATGTGCTCCTGTGTGCCAGTCTTGGTCTTTTCTGCTTTGAAAGGAAAGTTTTGCCCTTCATGCTCTGGATGGTGAATTATCTGTTATGATTTCATTAAGCTATTTCTATTCACCAACCTACATGATAATGTAAAATGTCATGCACATTAATATCATGACAGTATGAAGAAAATAGCTTCTTTTACAGGAAACTGGTTCCTTAGATGCTTATTAGAGGAAGATGGTACGTAAGAGTACTGTAATACTGCTAGGCTAAAGAATCTAATCTAAAGAATCACAGTTATCAGTCTAAAGGAATTAGATACCGATGCAACTGTCTGCCCAGCATCAAAAGCAACACCAAGTTTACCAAGTACAGAAGACCTAATCAGAGAATGTATAAAATAGCTGATGTGGACCTCAGGTCTAGTTCATCCATCCTTCTGTCTCCAACAGGCCTGATTAAAAAAAATTGAAGTCTTGCAATGAAAAAAGTAATCTATTCAAGTGTTTCATTATTTTTTATAATTAAAATATTTCTTTATGTCTAATCTAACAATCCAGATGCTGCATTATAAGTTTATTAGTTCTGCTCCCACACATGATGAACTTAGAAAACCAATGATTGTCTTGCATTTCACAGCAATCTTTCATCATTTTGAAGGCAGTCTCAGACTCTGAAGAATAAATGATAAACCCAAGTCCTTCCAACATTTCTCATGGATGATATTTTTTTTGGTTTTTTGTTTCTTCTCTATTTTTGTTATGTCTTTCTAAATATTCCAGTTGTCCCCTCTTTTTTTTTTTTTTTTTTTTTTTGTATCTGGCACCTAAAATTACACCCTACATGAATGTAGAAAGAATATTTTTTGCTGTGTTTACAGCCTGTACTGCTCTTTACAAAGTGAGCACTTTCCTTGTCCAAAGCATATTGTTGCCTCATGCTCAACTACACTGTAATATCCAAATTTTCTTTTAACATAATCCAGCATGTATATGGGTAATTATTGCACCAGATTCTCTGCTCATCATTATCAAATTCAGATCCCTGTGCTCTAATACCATTCTCCAAAGTTACATCAGTCTTTACAACCATCTCCAGACTTAATAGGCATATTCTCTATTTCATCATTTCATCATGTATATCCTACATACATCTCCATATAAATGCATGAATATTTACAAATATATGTATGCAAACATAGATGAATAAACATTCCTTCAGGCATGTCACAGTTGAATACTTGGGACATTGAAACTTTCATAGCCTGTATAGGTTACATGATAATGAGATGGTCTTCACACAGACAAAGGAGCCCAAAACAACAATGGAAGCTGTGGGAACCCAAATTAGACCACAATTTAACTCCTTTGTGTCTGTTTCAGGAGTCATCAAACTGTGAAAATCCCACCTTACAGCTGCAAAGGAGCACTGAAGCCCCTGGACCCACTGGTACAACTAACACGAGGGAACAGAGGGGAGGCTGGCTGTGTCGCCTGGCAGACTTGCCCATGGGTACAGGTTTTGCTGTGGAGTGCAGGGCAGAGCACTTCAGTACTGCACAAGACTTCTGAGGTGTTTAGGAGATCAAAGTCAGTGGAATGGAGATGGTTCAGGGAAGATCAAGTATGGAAAAATATAGACAAAAGAACAAAGAAAATAAAAGACAAAAAAACAATTTTTAACCCAGTTAAGGAGGACTTAACCCAGTGAAGAGAGGACTTGTCTGAGCTGTGGGCTGCCAGCTTGCCCATCAGAATGCTGTGGGAGACAGTGTCAAAGATTTTACTGAAGTCCATTTTCTGTCACAATTTTTTCATCCACCAGGAAGGTCACCTTGTCATAAAATGAGACCAGGTTGGTCAAACGGGACCTGCTGTTCCTAAATCCATGCTGGCTGAGCCTGACCCCCTGGTTGGCCATGTGATCACATTCAAGGTAATCGGTTTCATCATGTTCCCCAGCATGAGGGCAGGCTCACAGGCATGGATTTGCCTGGATTCTCCTTCTGTCCCTGAATAATTCTGAATTTACTGCAATAACACCCAAACAAACTGCATTAGTTTAACTAAGAGACTTCAGAGACCTGTAGAAAACCTTTTTGGAACAAAGAAAGATCCTGACACATAAAGAGAGAGAGAGTCTACAGAGCTGGAGCATTTAAGAAAAAAGTTAGATAGTAACAGATAAATTTTACAGTCATTGAAGTTATCATCTAACTCACAAGGCAGATGTGCGTGTTCAAATAACTGTAGACTGACATTAATCTTGCCTGAAGTTCTGATAATTGCATGTTTTTAGCTGAAAATGTTTAAAGATGTTTTGTGTGGTTTGTTAAATTTTTTCTAGTACTAGGCTATGTGAAGTAAAATTCAATAAATATGAACAAAGGCTGGGTCATATTGATTTGTCATTGAAAATGTCTAATTTTCCAAGTTCTTTTCACTTATAATGTGTGCAGCTTTATTGCCTATTCACAGAGTATATTTTTAATATTAACTATATACTAGAATATTAATCACATATTTCTTATCTAATTACATAGTTTCAAAGAAATGTGGCAATCAGTACTAGCAAAGATTTACTCTACTAGAAAAATATAATTAAACACTGCCTTCAGATAATGTAATATCATTTGTACAATTTGACTGAATATCTAATTCAGAAAGATCAACAGGGAATATTTATATAAAACAAACTATTTTTATCCTGAAAAAGAAAATAGAAATAAGTAATATACACTCAGTTTAAGAATAGAAATAAGCTGCATTAAAAACTTTTCACTGACAGAAGTACTGATTCCTCATTACTAGTAATGATAGGACAATCCAAAGTATATATGTTTTGGGTGTTTTTTTCTTTTTTCACATGCAATCAATATTAATAATTTCCATGCAGTTACAAAAGAAACAAGGTGGATATAAAAGATCAAAATAGTTTATCGAAGGTTTTAATAGTTTCTTGTCCAGAGAAGCACAGGTACAGACATAAGCCAAGCATGTTACTGCTTCCAGAAAAAAAATGAACGTTCACTTTTTACAACCAATTATTTCAAACTGAATTAATATACGATGCCCTAATGTTGGAAATTTTTTAAACCCACCAAACAATAGAACAAGCAAACAAAAGAAACACAAAGAATTTCTGGTGGCATTGTAACATTTAGATGTCACATGTATTTGTTGACACTGATGTCAGAGCACATGGCATAGCTCTTACAGGTGATAGTAAGACCACTGGAACTCTTTCTGCTTGAACTTCATGTCAGCATCAAAGAAAAAGTTCAGCCTGAAGGTTCAGATCACTCCTGCTCTCTGTGGAGTGGTTTGCGCTCTGGAGGAAGCATCGGCTGTAGCTTCTGCCAGCGCTGTGGAGGCCAGAGAATATGAGTGGCTCGGGCATGGAGGAGTCCAAGAGAAACCTGCAACCAAAATATAAACCAGAGGTGTTGTTAGGTAATGCAAATAAATCAGTATGTGAAAAATACAAAGCATGTGATGATTGTTAGAGCAGTGGGAGAATACAAAGCAGGAATGTGAGTAGTCTCTCATGCATGTAATGAGGGGAGATGAAAATGTCTTTAGTAACAATTTATTTTTCTTTTTTTGATAAAACATTTTTTGGAACTCAAAACAGCTTGCTGAAATGTACTGTCTGTAATACAGAACTTGGAATGTTTTTTTTTATTTTCAAGAAAAAAAGCTGCTCAGAATAGGTGAGGCATTCTATAATCCACATAAAGCTTCTTGGTTATTCATTATTCTAGGTCCAGAGAAAAAATTTTAAGTATCTATTTTGAATAATTTCAACAGAATCTGTGTCTTGGATTTGATCCCTGTGTACTAACCACACCAGGATATTGGGTTTTCTAAACATGTTGTGTTTACTATTTATCACTCTCCTTCAAAACTCCATTTTATCTTCAATCAAAAATGAAAATTACTGTGAATTGTAGAAATATCTATTTATTTCTCTACATATCAAAACCTTTTGAAGTGCTAGAACTACTTAAACCTGATTAATATGTTTTGCAAACATGTTTTAGCATCTTATTATTTATTAATGTTTACTTCGTAATTTTACTTCACTCATATTTTACTTCAATAACTCAAAATAAAATTCAATTCTGATATTGCTTATAAATGAATCAGAGATAACATAGTATAGAAAACACAATTGCTTAGAAAATCTTAAGTAAATTATAAACAAGATCCTTTTCATGTATGGTATGAAAATAGCTAGTCTAAGTAAGAATAGAACAGTCACAATTTCAGACTGAGATAAGACAGTCCATACTTAACACTGAAATTAAGTCATTTTGTATGGAGTTAATCTCAGTTAATTTGAAAAGCCTGCAACATAAACTTCTGCATTTTAAATTATTTGTTTAGACTTGTAGAGAAAATAGCATGTAGTAAGCACCCAGCACCAACAGAAGTTTTAAACGAGATAAAATCATGGTTAGAAATACTGGAATGTCTGTGTCTGTGAAAAGATTGACTAATTCATACTCCTAAACAGACAACAGTGATTATAATGGCTACAGAATTAGCAATGGCATGGATTAAAAAATGCACAGGCTTTATTTGACTTATGTCATTATTTCTCATAAAAACAAGGAAACATCTATGATATTATCCTAAAGAATTTTATTTAAGCCAATAAAAAGGAAATGTTTTTCAGAATGTACAGCATTACATCATACTTGCATACGTTATGCAGGATACAGAAGTGACCAGAAAAAAATAGAAAACTGTTTTAAAAAATAATGATGGAAGCAAAGTCCAGCACAGGTAATTCAACATAAACAAAGTCTCTATACTCCATATTAGGAACCACCAAGGAAAAAAATGTATACGTGCTTTATTCTTATATTTCAATGATCTGGTATTGGCTGTTTTAAGAGCCAGGTATTAAATGGATTTCTGGTTTGAACTTATACTTTGCTGCTTAAATTCCTATGTAAACTCAGTTCCATTCCATTTCTCATTAAAAAAAAAAAAAGAAAAAAGTGATTTTAGTAAGCAGGTAATTCAGCATTTCATGCAAACAGACACCAAATAGGCCCCTAGGAATATCTTCAGCTAATTTTCTTGATTTAATTTCATAGGATTAATATATATTCACCAGTCTCTCTCTACTACATAATCAAATCAGTGAAGCTGAAGTGGTATATATCTAATTCCATATTCTGTAGCTTGATGAAGCAGGTGCTGAATTACTTGAATATAATTTGGTTACTTAATAACCCATGATATCTAAAAGAATTTGAAGTGGATCACTGAATTGAAGTCTAGTATTATATTTCACTTGCTTGATCCTTTGCAGAGACCACTTTTTTCCCAGATCCGTAGCAGTTCTTTTCCTTACATTTAAGCAGAGGACGGGCTGCTAAGTGACAACTCTTTTTAAATAGCATTGAGCAACATTTTTTAATGTCTTGACACACTTTTGTGCAGTTTGGTTGATATTTATGGAATTCACAACATCCTGTATCTTAATTAGCCCATAAAGTGGGCTGCAAATGTAATATTACCATGTTGGGTTTTTTCCCTGAGCATACAGCATGATAGCACACACATTACAGGCTGGTGCCAAAATATAAAACCACAGCAAATCCCACAGCTGCATATAAAATGTGACAGCATTAGTACAGAGGGAAAAAAATGTTAGAATACTCTTTCCAAACACAAATAACATCTCATTTTCAAAGCTCTGTGTTTTTCTCAGTACATTGCTTGTTACTGATGTCAGCAGGAGGTCTGAAAACAGACTGAGAATATAATAAATGAATCAAAACATGTTTTAAGCTGAGGTTGGGAATAATTTTACCCAGAGGATTATTTCTACTGACCATCATCTGCCTTGAAACTAATAAAGAAGTCTTCTTCCTATAAACATGATTTACAACATGACTAGAGTTAAAAAGGAAAAATTGATATTGTTGGGTGATGGAAGCCTTTGCTAAACAACAATACACTGATGCTATAGGACTTCTTTTATAATAACTTAAAGGTTCACTTTAAAAGCACCTTGATGTTTGACTTCTGCAAACAACCATAATAACTTTTTCCATTGCCTATTATTATTCTGTACTTAGCACAGCAGCCATGAATTTCACTGAGGAAGAACAGAATTGTTCGCAGAGAATAACCTGCCCTTGCTAATGGATTTGCCCTCATCAAGGTTAGATATGAATGAACTCAGAAGAGTGAACTAAAAGGCTACACTTTCTGTTGTAACAGTGAAATACTGAGATAATCTATTAATTAATCACCTCACTTATAGACAGTATTTTCCCCCTTTACATAGGAAAATAAGTTTATTCCCTTGAAACACTGTCTTAACTATAAAAAAAATCAGTACTTTACAGACATAAATTCTTTGAGGAATGTGTTCCCTTTCCATCACAGAGATGCCAGCAATTAAATAGTTGGGGGCTATGTCAACATTATGACCTATTTGTTGTTCTTGTTGTGGCAAAAACAGCCACTACATTGAATTGAATCTATATTATTGCGCCTAAGCTGAGCTGTTTAAACTATTTTTAAATCTTTGAATATTAAGTTGAACAGCTAAGAAGTCACTTCATTAACACAGCAATTTTATCTGCAAAGTAAGTTTTGAATTAATAATGCTGTTTTGACACTGTTACTGTGCTAAAAGCATATTTCCTCAGTGTCTGCTTGTTATGAGTATGTTAGTTGTATGGAAACTGATTAGTTTTGGCACTGCATAAGGAAAAGATAAGCCTAAGACTGATAGTGCTATCTGCTGTGGTACTTACAATAATCTTGCTCATTTTGTCCTAATAGGCTTGGATAAACCACCTTTATTAGTATGAAGTCTTACAATAATATCACATGCTCTGGTTCTAAAATACATCATGAAAGTGGGAAAAGTAGTATTTGAACTGTAGTGAGTCTGTATATATGCAGCATACACTGGAGCACATCAAAATTTCTATGGAAATGACATTTGGATCTCAAGAAAAGGAAAGTCCAGATAATGGTGTGATCCTATGTGCTGGTTTTGGCTGGGAGAGAGTTAATTCTCTTCACCTTGGCTGGTACTAGACTGTGTTTTGGACTTGTGCTGAACACAGGATTGATAAAATAGAGATGTTTTTGCTACTGCTGAGCAGTGTTTACAGAGACTCAAGGCCTTTTCTGTTTTTTGCGCTGCCACTGCTACTGGCAAGGAGACTGGGATGCCTGAGATGTTGGAAAGAGATGCAGCCAGGACAGGCTCCCCCCTACTGAACAAAGGTATATTCCAGACCATGTGACATCATGCTCAGTGGGTAAAGTTGGGAAAAGTAGGAAGAAGGGAAGGTTTGGAATGATGATGTTTGAGTTTCCGAGTCACCATTGCATGTGATGGCGCCCTGCTCTCCCTGAGATGGCGGAGGGAAGCAGTGAAATAATTCCTTGTATGCATTTCCTAATTAATACATGCATGGCTTTTGCTTGTACTATTAAACTGTCTTCATCTCAATCCATAACTTTTCTGTCTTCTACCCTTCCAAGTCTCTCCCAGATTCTGCTGGTGGGGGAGTGGACAAACAGTTGTATGGAGCTGGGCTGCTGACCGGTGTGAAACCACCACACCTAACAAGAGTATTCTCAACTTCCCCAGAGAATGTAAAATCTACCCAAACAGCTAAATTCAGGTACTGTAGCTCCTAGTCATGAGTTCACTTTGGTTTAGGAACATTCCCCACAGATTTTCCCTTGCTTCTTTTTTACTTAAGCCTTCTTAATTTTATGCAGCTTAAACAGCCAAGATTTCAAATTCTGTACCAACTCTGAAACAATGAAGAACACCACTAAATATACCCTGAGAAAAAGCACTGCAAAATCAAAAAATCCAAACTTTTAAAACTTCTGAAAAAATTAGACTTACTAACTTGTCAGTTTTCTATTTGGAAGTAATAACCATAGAATCATAGAACTAAAGACCACTTAGACTGACAAAGACCTCTAAGACCATTTACTCCAACCATTAATTCACGATTCACCACTAGGCCATATCCCCACGTGTCACATTCACATGCATTTTGAACAATTCTAGACATGTAATAAGACAAAGAGACAAAACAAAAATGCAAGGATGTGACTACAGCTGTATCATAGCCCTGCAATTCAGTATTGCCACTGCCAGTAACAAGCTGTAGACCTTGTATTGGCTCTGCAAGGCCTCAAGATCAATTTCTCAGGATTTGTCTTACCTCTCCTGCCTAGAGTTTTGATTCAGCTTATTTAGATGCAACAAATTTTCTAATCATCAGGTGACTATTGACTAATTTGTTACAATTTTGCTTATACCACTTATATTTGCTTATATTTGCATAGCTTTGTGGTATAATCAGAGTTTTTGGATGTAAATTAAAAAGTGAATATTCATTATAGGATGAGATAT